AGATAAAATAACTTGGGCAAAATGGGTTTGGATAAATTAAGTACGTCGTACTATTTTAATGGCAAGCTTTTGAGATCTCCTTAAAGCTCCGGGGCTTTGGAAATTTTACCACGGCCAGAGGACGGACACTTGCCCAGCCCCGGACTCTCTGGCGCAATCTCTGCCCAAACAAACGATAGCTCCCCGATTTATTGTCTAGAGCTGAGCTGTAGAACAGCTTGCCATCTGATTCGCGACAAGCAAACTCCCTGACGGGGGTGCTCGTCGGAATTTTTTTGTCCCCTACAAAGAGGTACCAATTCTTACATAACACATTATCTCCTGCCACATTTTCCCGGCTCAGTACCCTTAAAGGTACTACAAAAACTCCCGCTGTGGACCTTTTGAGGCTAAGCATCCTAAGAGGGACCAAAACCACGTTTTTAACCCCAAAAAGGTACGAGGAGACTCCCCATCCTTTTTATTTGGGAGTTCCCCCCCGCCCCAACACTGCAGGGCAAGNGGGGCTTTGGAAATTTTACCACGGCCAGAGGACGGACACTTGCCCAGCCCCGGACTCTCTGGCGCAATCTCTGCCCAAACAAACGATAGCTCCCCGATTTATTGTCTAGAGCTGAGCTGTGGAACAGCTTGCCATCTGATTCGCGACAAGCAAACTCCCTGACGGGGGTGCTCGTCGGAATTTTCTTGTCTCCTATAAAGAGGTACAAATTCTTACATAACACATTATCTCCTGCCACATTTTCCCGGCTCAGTACTCTTAAAGGTACTGTAAAAGCTCCCGCTGTGGACCTTTTGAGGCTAAGCATCCTAAGAGGGACCAAAACTGCGTTTTTAACCCCAAAAAGGTACGAGGAGACTCCCCATCCTTTTTATTTGGGAGTCCCCCCACATACACACTCAGACACACACACATCGGGTCAAGGTCCCTGAATGATTTGATTATGTCACCACAGTTTTTCATAGAAGAGCAGCCTTGCAAGGGTAAAGGTAAAAGATAAAGTCTGCATACGAGCAAAGTGGCTCATCAAGCCACAGCTTATCTCAGTTTCTGTTGCATGAAGTGACTAGGAGTATTTCTACTCCCCCCTGGATGGTTTACCCCCAGCGTTAAGTTTGCTGGTACCCATTTATACACCTGGGTGGAGAGAGGCACTGTGAGAGTTA